TACTCCACTTCCCAAGCTCCTCTTGGGTGTTCACTAAGAAACTTTGACTCTTTCCATGACTTAGAGTCCAACCGGTACAATGTTCTTTTGTGGGAGCAAGAACAAACTCGATCCTTTCCACGGTTTAGGATCAAACCGTTACAACGCTCTTTTTCGAGCTCAAGAGCAACCCTTACAAAGATTTGAAATTTGAAGAACGAACTTACAAACTCTCTCAAGAGTAGATATACAAATTTTTGTTCACAAATTTGTAAGAAAAATTCTTACAAATAAGACCCTCAATTGGCTAAGAGAAATAAAATTGGAAGCACAAATATCTCTCAAATAAAATCTCCCACAACAAATTTAAAAGAACATTGAAGCTTTTGGAGAGATGAACAATTGATGAATTGAAGAGAAAATTGAGAGAGAAAATGTTGTTAAAATTTGGGAGAATGAGGGGTATAAATAAAGAAGGAAAGGTGGATAAAAAATTGGAAATCGAAATTGAATTTAGACCATTGGATCTTTAATCATTGGAAATCAAAGGTTGATATTTAATTGACTAATATATATATATATATATCAAACTTCTCCAACCACACTTTTCTTTCTCCTTTTTTTTATTTTTTATTTTTTGTTTTTATTAGTTGAATTAAATGAGTTTTTTTTCATCAAGTTACCGTGGGTAACTTTTATATATACTAGTAAGAAACACGTGCGGTGCACGTGAAATTTCCTAGTTTTTATTTCTACGTTTAAAAATATAAAATTTAATTAAATAGTTAAAATTTATAATATAATTTGGTTTTTTTCTCTAAATGTTTAACTCACCAAGTTTTTTCATATTTTCAATGTTTATCTCATAAAACAACGTCTCAATAATTCTCATCACCCATTGATGTGGTTAGTGTGACTAAAAGTATTATTCTTCAATTACTTAAATTTCTTTTAAAAAAAAACACATATTCATGGATTTTTCATCATTTTTTCCCCTAAACATAACAATAAATAAAAGTAAATACAACTTTGTTTCAATTTCTTATTTGAGTCATTGAAAAATAAAATGACAAAAAAAAATAGTGAGACATAGAGATACGTTTAGGACAGCCATTCTTTGCCATATTTGAGTTCCAGTCCAATTCCTTGCCTTAGCTCATCAGGAATGCCAACCACAGCCATGTTCCGATGGATTGCTCCGGCTATTTTCATCACATGATGATCACCTTACCAAGGAGGGGGTCATTGAGAGAGTCCTCGCGGTTATCAAGTGTCATCCCAAAGTGGATCCGTCCAAGGTGATTCGACCTTATCAGTCATTTTCACTTTTCTTTTTCCAGTTAATTAAGTCGTTTGGAAAAAAAAATTAACTGAAAAAGTTGTATTCGATCAAACAACTTAACTAAATATAAGAAAACACAAGACATTGACTAAAAGAGAAAATTTACCTACCGAAAGAGAAAAGAAACTCAAGTTTTGATGAAGAAAAAGTTGGGAGAAAGAGTAAGAAAAAACTCTTTATATAGGTGTAAAAATAAAAAGTTACGAAACTTTTGAAATTCTTTATTAATTATAATTCAAAATAAGTTATAACATTTTAACATAGAAATAAAAAGACAAAACTCCATATTCTAACTCTTTATATTCTAACCTTTAAGAGGGAGAGTTTATTAGAAAGACAAAATTAATTTGAGAAACGTAAAATTTGTAATAATGGAGATTAAATATTTTAAAAGAAATGAAAAAAAAAAAGAAAGTGGCGTGGGAGGGAGAGAAACGGGAGTGAGAGAAAATTTTATATTTGAAGGACAAAATTACCCCCAAAATATCTATGGGAATGTTGAAATTAAAAGGGCAAAATAGGGAGAAAAAGTTTCTCCCTATAGCCCCTTTTATATATACTATAGATATATATTTTTTCTTTTTTTTTCTCTCTTTTCTTTTTATTTCCCTTTCATTTCAATTTTTCTCTTTCCTTTTTTTTAACACCAAGTCACATGTCAGCATTTTAGTGGACCACAGTCGCCATGTCATCCACCACAAGTATTTTTCTTTAAACTTGTTTCAACCATAATTTCTCCGTTTGAGCTCCGATTTGGATAATTCAAAATCCATTGTAATCTTTGTAACGAGCTCGATGCTGTAGACACTTCAAAATATTAAAATTGTCAAATAACATAATTAAGTTTGTTATCATCAAAATATTAATTAATTAATTAATTAATTTGAGATTAAGGGCCAAAAAGCCAACAACTACTCTCGAAAAACTTTATGAATCTCATCTTCATTCTTTATTCCATGAGCCATAGAAGATTTTAATTAATTACTTTACAACGTTTACCCTTTCTATTTCATCTATTAGCTTCTATTTACTTCAATAATTGAACGGAGAAATGATAATAATTCAAGAATGAGATGTATTGGTGGTAGAGGTGAGCAAAAGGTTCCTAAAAAACTAGTCTGATCCACCAAAATTGGCAAAACCAATGTGGGTCGGCTTGTATGGTTTGGTCAAGGTTGATTTTTCCAACCATAAAATCAAAAATCAATCAATCAATCTAGTTGAAGGATAAAAAACATCGACATATATCTTATAGTATGTGTTTGATCGTGAAATCAACCAAGCTCAGATCCGTAAAGCTCGGATGAGGTGTAATGAAGCTCGAAGTACCTGCAAAACAAAGTCAGCACTCTGACGCTCTTGTCAGTACACAATCTCATCTACTGCTCTACAGAGATAGTTTCGCGTACCTTGTGTGAGAGGCGGAGGTCTCTATTTATAAAGATGAGCTTCCAACATGACTTTCGACAACACTCCAACAGTTCTTCGACCAAACATGGCGTGTTGTTGAAGAACATCCTCGTTGTCTTTTGATCCACAGGTGCACTTGTCGAAGTCAGCTTGTACCTAATAAAGCCCTGCCAAAAAGGTAGAAAGTAGCTCAACTCATCTTTTAATTGCTAAGCTTTCAAGATTTGAATTAATCCGGGGTGCAGTCAATTACTCTTGTTGTTTTATATGATGTTGACATATGAAAGGTGATAGTTGGCCTCCAACAGTCTGCGATACCACTTTGGAAAACCACCAATGATTTTCGCCACTGGTTTTCTAATTAATTCAAATTTTTGAAAAAAAAATATTTTAATTCTTTTAACTTCTACTCACTCTCTCATCCCCCTCCCTCTTTTCTCCTGGATTTTTTTAAATAATGTTTTTTTTAAAGCAAATGGCAAAAATAGTATAGGTACAAAACTATTTTCAAAACTAGGTTAGCTAAAGCAAAGTCATTGACTGCAATTTATATATATCGCAGCCAATGGCAGCTATTTGGACCCAAATTGCAGTCATGACATACGATTTAGGGCTAAATAGCGGTCATTGACAGTAATTTCATGAAAGCTTCTTTATGACATGGTCCCAGTTAGCGAACAGTTGGAGCCACGTCTCGCTACGACTTCCATTCTGACACAAGTCTTGCTAGGGTTTTCTAGTGGGCACACTCGTGGTCCCTCTTCCCACATTTTTGTCCCCATTTGTTTTCTTCCTCATTCCCCTTCCTCCATTGTCACCGGCGTCAAGCTCTTACCGTCACCGTCGCCACTTCTTTAACTCATATCATTGGTCGCCGTTCTTTTACCGTCCGCTGTCGCCACCGATCCTTAACCTCTCGCCATCGGCTGACGCTCCTTCACCTCCGCGGTAGGTATTTTTTTTAATTTTCTTTTGCTTTATGTTTTTTTTTTCATTTACCCATGTGTGTTTCTTTTAAGTAATATTCTACTCATGTGGTAATATTGTATGTATGTGTGGGTGTATTTATCTTTTCTAAGTTAATTTTTATATCTATTTTAAATTGTTATTTAAATGATTCCAAATTAGTTTTAGATATTAGTTTCGTAACGTGTTACAAATTAGTTTGACTTATATTAAATTATTTTGGAACCTAGGTTGATTCACGTTAGTCGATATTGTAATGATGTCCAAAACTGCAAAACACCAAGCGACAAAAACCGACTTGTCGATGGTTCGTGTCGATTTGAGGCCAAAATCAATGTCCAACGACCAACAATCACCCCCTAATTATTAAAGCCCACCATAAATTTGAGAATCACCTTCACTCGTACGAGTTAGAAGCATAAACTCTGAGGATGATTTTTTTTTTTAGGGGCAGAATCAAATAGCTCAAAATGATGTCACAAAATTTTATGGGTTTTTTCTTTTAAAAAACTTTTCTTAAAATATTGGTCAATTAGAATCAATAATTAGTATGACTTTTTTTTTTCATCTTCGATCAATATATGCCGAGCTAGTCGAGCGATGCTGAGAACTTTGACTAATGCTTGATATAATTTTAGCCAATCCAATATAGCCAAGGTAGATAGAATCATTAATTTTATGATTGCAGTCAACTACTACTCGACCAGTCATTTTAAAGTCCGACAATTTCTTAAAGTTTAAATCTCATCTTGATTTTTGAACTTAGTTTTTTTTAGTCTCCTTAAACTTTCAAAATATCTATTTTAATTCCATAAAAATTTTGATCTTGGTCGATTCGACTCATCACATATACATGCATTAACATGCTATTACAATCACAAATGTCATTTTATTTTTTAGTTCAAGAGGACATTTTAGAAGTTCATCTACCAAAATAAAATACTTTCAGCAATTTCAGAACCGAAATGAAACTTAAACCAATATCTTATAGCTAACTCTAATAGGCTATGTTTTGCTTCCCTCCACATGCATCTTTATGTCATCAAAAAAGAGAATCGAGGAAAAAACAAAACAAAACCTTCCTCAGCAAATCATTAGCTTCATTATCAATGGCCAAAGGCACATGAACACATATTATTATAGCAAATAGATACATTTTGAGTATGGAAAATACTTGCTCCTCGCTGTCCTCACCACCCTTAAATATTTGACAACTAAGAGAGAAATGCAAAAACATAAAGATTTTTTAGAAAATGATGCGTTGATAAATATTTAACAATGGTAAGGACAAAGTTCCGACAAAGTTCCTCCTTACTAGTGAGGAGCCGAGTATTTTCCTTTGAGTATTCGGTATTATGCACAATATAGACAGAATTCACTTTTGTTAGGCAACAGACACACCAATATTTCCAGGGAAAGAACTTGATGTTCTTCTAGTCAAGCCCTTCAGCTCCTCCACCATGCAGCTCATGAGCTTCGCTGTTCACAACATTTAAAACTCCTGGTTGTTCTGCCAAGTCCCAAAATAGAAAAAACTTATGGTAACTGTGAGGATTTATCACTCTAAGATGAAAATCTAAATGTATATGCATACACCACACACGTTATTGACGGTTTTGAGAAACTTATCGATGCTCCTGGGATATATAAGTTGTAGAGATATGGAAAGTAAATGCAAAGAAATCCCACTAAACAATAAGAACTACATAGAATCACAGTTCAAAATTCAATCAAGCTTAGAAATTAAATAGACACAACCATCTAGCTTATTAACTAAATTTATGATATAACCTTTATTTTTATACCACCCAGGAAGACTACGACTTAGATTGAAAGATCAAACAAGCATCAAACAGGAATCCAAACATGTGACAGAGTAAAGGGACAATCAAAATCCTGATCTAACTCATTGCATAATCAACAGACAACTTCAAGAACCTGCTCGAACCAAGCAAACTAGCGGTTCAAGACGCTTTGAAATGCACAAAACTAGAAAAATGTAGATAACAGTAAGCTCAATATATCATCCATTATCCGTTTCATATGAGGAAGTAAATTTTCATATCCCCAGCTCCAATGTATGAAATTCTTTCAGAAATCCACTAAATAGACGATGATCAAGCAATGATAGGTAAACGACGAAGAAATTGAAGCAGATGATGCTAAGAGCGGGACTTACTGGAAATCTTCGCGACCTGATCGGGAGTAAGCCGAGCGGAGAATCCACTGGCAGCATTGCTGTAACTATACACAAGAGCCTCTTTAGCAGCCTTTTCACTGAAAATCAACAGATTGTACCAAAATTCATCGTCAATTTCCACAAAGAAGGGGGAGAATAGAAGAGAAGAGAGGAGAAGAAATACCTGCCGAGAACCGAAGCTAGGGTTTGGATGTGATAGGCCTCAGGCTCCACGCCGCGAGGCTTCTCCATGAAAACGATATGCACCGCCGGAGAAGCGGATTTGGATTTGCCGGGCATCGCCGCAGAGCTAAGAACCAAATTCACAGAAATCGAGCATAGCACAACAATATATATGCAAAACGATGAAAAATTCGCATTCGCCATTGCCATTGCCATTCCAAGTTGAACGATAATTGGACAGAGAATCAAGACTCTGAACAGATTTTGAGACCTTAGGGAGATGAAATCGCGGGAGAGACTCCCGCTTCTTGTACAATGTCTTGACCTTCCTCTGGCTCTGGCATCACTGCTGGATTTTATGGATTTTTGGTTTTTCTTTTTTCCTTAGCTAAATATATCCCATCATCATTTTTAGAGACGGTTTGTATTGTTTGGTGCAAATTCTCACGTTTGAATTTGTGGTAATCTAAAAAAAAAAGAATTCCTAACAATACATTTTACTCCATATTTTGTTAAATTAAAGTAAGAAAACCTATAAGTAATCCCATTTCATGGGGTTATAACTATGAGAAGTTAATGATTGGACAATAAAAGTTATATTTTATGCGTTATATTTGAAAAAAAAATAGTTTAGCAAAAATAATTATTGTTAACTAGTAAAGTCCTCCATTGAGTGTTGTTTATGAGGCTAACATAGACTCTCAAGTAATGAAAAAATAAAGTCCTCCATTAAGTGACGTTTATATTATTGTTGTATGATTGGAGACGAGAAACAGGAAGAATATGCTATCATATATCAAAATAGTACAATACCAACAATATAGATCTAATACAAATATATCAATTGGAACATAACTCAACTGGTTAAAACATACCTCTTTAACAAAAATTTTGAGGGTTCAAATTCCTACACGATATATTAGAAACAAGGGAAAAAAGTTGATGATCTTTTAGTAAAGCCTTGCAGCTTCTCCTTAGTGCAACTCAGAAGTTTCAATTTCCACGACATGGAAAGCTCAGTCATAACTTCAAAATTAAAATATATATATATATATATATATATATATATATATATATATATATATTTTGTAAGTACAATATGTAGGATGGGGATCAAACTCACAACCTTTTGATTGGAGATATATGCGAATTACCGCTTGAGCGATGCTCGCTGTAGCAAAATTAAAGAGTTATGGTATATTAATACCTTAGAAATATATTTTTAACAAGATATTAACATGATTTCATATGACACACTCAATAAAGAAATATGGTTTTAATTAAAATATCAAACTATCGAACTTTTTTAATATTATGGCGGCCAATTCATATATTAAAGATGGTGAAGGCCAATATCATATGCATAATTTTAAAATAACAATCCGTATAGAGCCAAAAAATTCAATTGACATAATTGTGAAAGGAATATTTTTAATTATGAATATTAAGACTAGCTTACACAACATGTCTAATCACATGGAACAACTGAAAAATTATATTTATAACAAAAAAAAACAACTAAAATATTATTGGATAGTTCATATCTTAGGGTAACTTGCAACTAACTAAAAAATGTTTGCTGGTTTAGCACGATTTAGAAGAATTGGACAGTAGACAAAATAAAGCGTTACCAGCCACAAATCCTCTATTTGAATCTCTTTTATGAACTGTGCCACTTTATTTTGTAAACATGTCATATCATTATTTAATTAACCATGTAATAACAAGAATTATATAGAACTACAATTCAAAATTCAAAATTTAATTATATAAGTAAAACTTTTTAAAGTTTAGAAACTAAATAGACGCAACTATCTAACTTATGAACTAAATTAATAATTTAACCTATATTTTATTCCATGTAAAGTAAAGAAGCCTTTTGGAACGGTAAAGTCTACATCTTTGACTGAAAGATCAAACAAGCATAAAATTGTACTGCAAACATATGATAGAGTAAAAATGTCATTGTCTTCAAATTTTTTTTTTTTTTTTTAGTTTGTTGGTGGGTAAAAGTAGACTTGACACGTGGAGAGATACGAAATATCTAAATGTAAAGTCTTTCCCAATAAGCTCAGAGATACAATGTGACCGACTTTGAAGCTCGACCAGAAGGTGACCAGAAGGTAACTTGTAGGCTAGGTGAAACTTCATTTGGTCGAAGGTACTGCCATGCTCTGACCTTAGACACCCAAGAGGCCGACCTTGTGCAATGGATCTCCCGAAAGCATAGTTGAACAGCCGGAAGTCATTACCACTTGTCTCTCTAATGTTTATTCTGACTCCAAGTACGAAATCTAAGCTCGGCTTCAGACCTAAGATCTACACCTTACTGACTTAGACGTCAAAGTGTTTGCTTTGTTTGTGTAAGTCTTCTTGACCTAGCTCGCTCTTAAGCTCGGTCATACTCGGTCTTATCAATTCTCAAGTTTTCTTAAAATTCACCATAAACATTTGGTGTCATCTATGGAAAATTGACTGAAACAAAGGTATTTCCTACCCAAGCTATGACTCAATCAAATTCTCAAGGGTCCAACAATCCAACCCGTTGGGTTGAACATCCTAACTAGGAAGATCGCATCGCCCTTCAAGATCCTCAAGCTCCACTGACTACAAGAGTTGCACCAACCCTTCTACCACTACTAGAGCTCCAACCTGCCGAACTTTGATACCAAGACCTTGTTGGGTGTGTTGCCCTAAACTCATAGTTTGTATTTATGTAAAAACAAATTTATATTCAATAAAATTATATTTAATCAATTTGTTGTTGAATTCATAGCATTGTCGCTATTCAAATCCAATAAACTAAACATCCAAGGTTATTATCATGTAACCAGGACAGTATATATACGGGGTATATATTTGATATATCCTCGATATACAAGTAGATCATGTCCTGGGAATAACCTAAAGGGTCTATAATACATGGATAAGGCTGAGTACCTTATCTTGACAACACTATGGATACGACCCACTTTGTAAATGTTACAGACAGCCCGATCCATGTCGTTCGTGTGGAGACATGCGAGTGGGGTATCCTATATAATGAGTTTATATAAGATCGGACCGTGAAATAGCCAATCTTTAGATGTAACACCGTTGACTAACAGATTGCTATTTCATATGATGACCAGACACCTCATTCTTAATCCTGAGTGAGTTCTAGACTCCTGTCCGTGAGAACGCGTCCTCTGATCTATATGGGTGAGAGTGGCTCGAGTCGTTGACTCAACATTCCTACCATTTTGGGACGAGACTGAGTGGGGAGCTGTGAACATAACTTCACAAGATGGAATTCACTCCTCCCCGACTTTAGGGGAGTAGATGAGTGTTCTTTTAAATGCTGACTCCGAGACTTGAACAAAGGGCCTCACTCTCTCACTGATCCGAGAGGGACTTCCAGTTATTGCTCGGACCATAATCGGGTTGTTCATTAGAGGAGTAGTGGTATTTAAGGAGTAAGATGTAATTTAGGGGTAAAACGGTAATTTGACCCAGTTAGAGTTACGAGCACTCGTGAAAGATTGACTTGCCATTAATGGTTGTATATCTGTGGACACGAAAATATAGTGCAACTACGGGTCTTTAGTGGAGTGACCCATAGTTAATGAATGTTGATTAACTCGGTCAATGAGTTTGACCGATTAATCTTGTATCGTTGGAGATTATGATCTGTAGGTCCATTAGGTCCCCTTGCTAGCTCACAACGGGTAAAATGATGATCAATGATTACGAAATAATTTGAAATGTTCAAATTATATGAGGCAATGTATTATTGGGAAAAAAATCTCCTACTTCTAGCGCAGGAATAAGCAGAAAATAACTGAGAAATTTAAAGAAAGCAATAAAATAAAGAAACATAAGAATTAACGTGGAAAAACTCCAAAGCGGAGAAAAAACCACGGCCCACAAGACAAAATCCACTATGTGAAAAATTATTACAATCACACAGATTTCTCTTCCCGACCCCAAATACACAAAACACTCTTTCAAAGCAAATACCGCTCAGTTAACTAGAGCTGGTATACCAGGCATAAAGTATTACAATTGGGATGATTAAAACCCAAGCCTATGAGCTCCTTCTATAGTAGTTGGAACACATCTCCTCCTTGTACTTTTCCGATGTGGGACAACTCTAGCACATGGAGACCATCCTTGTATTCTTCCAAGTTGGGACACCTTCAATTCCAATATTTTGCCAAAACCCAACATGTATATAATGTATATTGATACATTATATATGAATATATATGAATTTTGGATGAAGATTCAAAATTAATACTATATATTATGAGAAAATTATTTGAATGAGATTCAAATAAAAATTAATAATATTAATATTAAACACCCACTGCTTTACTACAGGGAGGTTAGTGATGATGTAGGGTACATCCTTGTTGTAGTTTACATAATGGTTATGTAAAACAGTCACATTCATCTTCGTGCATTTCTTGGAAAAAACACACACTCTCTCAAATCAGTTCCCTTTGACTTCCAAATTGTTGCTCACACAAGCAAAGATCATCGTTCCCAGAGAATAGTGGGAAGATCAGTGGTGGTGTTCGTTTGATCTAACCGGAGAATAGTTCTTCAAAGGTAAAGGAAAATTATTTTCCTTTGTATTTTTTCTTTTTCTATGTGTGTTTTTATTCTTTAAAATTCAAAAACCCCCTTCCAGCTCTCAAACGTCTTTCTATCAAAAAAGAGAGGTAAATAATAGTACAACAAACCAACAACTGTGACAAGCATGGACTCATAAGATGGGCGAAGGTCTCCGTTTCCACTGCGAGATTAACGTCATTTCAAACCTATCTTCCTCCGGTTTAAGGGTGGTAGAGTACCCGCGCTACTCGCGGTAGAACTAGCGTGACAAAATGAACTGGATGAAATACCAATCACCAGTAGATTCTGAGGTGCTTGTGATCATGAAAGCCGAGAAGGACGAGATGCATGCTTGGATGCAGGCCATGAAGTATACTGATAATAACCTTGGAAAAATCGAGGTATCTGTATCCTCAAACCTGCAAGGTCATACAGGAAGGATAAGGTAGTCCCAACCATCAACGATGAGAAGGTTAACGATGACCAAGGCAACACGGGCACAACCTCGACCTTAGACAGAATGACCTCGATACGCCAAGAGTGTAATAACACCATGAGAGGTCGATCCTCCCTTTGAGGACAAGCAAACGTGTTGTGCCCACCAAAGGTACATCAATGATCCACCCAGAAGTCGAGATAGCGAAGATCTATAAAACATTCTTAATGACCGAACCAGACGACTTAACTTCTATGCCCAAGGTTGAACTCCTCATTCGGAAAACCTTAGGAATAATGCTCAATGATAGAGCGAAGGCCAAAGCCCAAGAGGTTTACCCTTAAAGTCGGGTTACACATTTTGAGTTCTATTAGATAAAGGATAAATTTGAGGTTGAGGAAAAATATGAGGGTAAATCTACCCAAGTTACCGAGGATGATGAGCTAGCTGAGTTCCCATTCGTTAAAACAATCATCGATGCTCCTATCCCAAGCAAGTTCAAGATGCAGACCTTCAAGACATATGGTGGTTCTAGCGACTCGATAGATCACATTTAAATCTAAGAAGGCTTGATGGACTTTCACATTGTGAGTGATGCCCTTAAGTGCCAAGCTTTTCAGATCGCTATGGTAGGCTTGACACGACCATGGTACCGGCAACTGCCCTCAAGGTTAATCTCTGGCTATAAGCAGCTCAAGAAGACCTTCATCACACATTTTTCTACCCGACATCATTAAAAGAGGCCAACGACCCACCTACTCACTACATGACAGAAGGAGAGTGAATCCATGAAAAAGACTACAAGCCGCTTCAACGAAAAACATATCAAAGTGTCGCACTGCTCCAATAACACAACCATTTACAATAACCTATGTTTTCTCTCATGGAGCTAAGAGAGTCCAAGAATCTAGATCAGGGAGGGAATTCACAGTAAATAGTTAGCGCCTAAGGCATTATTAAGGAGAATAGTTGGTGAGAGATGCTAGATCTCACCAATTTAATGCTGACTGAACTCGAGAAAGAAGGAATAAAGAGAGCAGGGCATCAAGTTTAATTATTTTTATTGCTACAGCTTTTTGCTACTTTCAATAAAATTTCATTTGATTTTGTTTGAATTAATTTAGTCTCTTAGTAATTTTCTTTAATTTCATCATGGGTAGGACAGTTTGAATGAAAAAAAAAAGATAAGGCAGTATGTGATGCTGGAGCATCAGTGCAGTCAGAAAATAAAAATAACTTAAAAAGAGATGGAGACACCTTTGGCATATGCAAAGAAGAAAGGTAAGAGCATTAATCTCCCTAAGAAGCCATGTGGCAGACATGCGTGGAAATGACATAAAACAGACCACTACGTCATTACTTGATGATGTGAGGCATGTGCGGTAAAAAGAAAAGGTAAAAGGTGAAATTTGGTAAAAGTTTGGGGGGAATTTGAAATCAAATCGTGGGGTGATGTGGTAACAGTTTTGAGGGGAAAACTTTTCCCTATTTAATTAACCACCCACGCAAATCTCTTCCCCACGATGTGCTTACCTTTTCTAGAAAACTCCCTCATTTCTGCCCTTTAATTTCCAGCTTCTTTCCTGGAACGAATGAGGTTGGGGCCTTCAAAATAGAGGGAGAAGCAAATTGTTGCTTCCTCTCAAATGAGGAGGTGGTCTTTACCGTTTTGAGGGGCTGCTTCCCCTTTCTAACTGTGGGCATAGGCAATGTGATAACACACGTTGGCTTTTTGAAGCTATACAACTTAGCCCTCTTGTTGAGGCTTGTGGAGCTGGAAGCTCGAGGCCACGCTTTTTCATTCTTGTACGGGTAGGACCAAAGGACGTCTTTCTCTTTGCCTAATAACAGGAATTTCTCCACATAAATTGGAGACTCTTTTTCGATGGCGGACTCGCGCACGGATGTTGAGGTATCCTATTTTGGGGTTTTTCTAACTGGCGGGGTTGG